TTCGTTTTGTTTTTCTGAGTTGGAAAGAATTTGAGTGATTTTCGTTACTATTTATCAACTGTTTTGTATTCTACACTTACCGCACCTAATAAAGGATCTACTGCATTAAAAAAGACGGTCTTTTTATGAGCTGAGTGTTTGTTCTCATGCTTACAGTTGAGTTCTGTGTAAAGATAATAATAATAATATTAATAATAATAATAATAATCTTTTATTTTATATTTCTCATTACAAAACAAGAAAAGGTGGAAGAGGGGGCAAAAAGCTGCTACTGCAGCTTGACGAGGCCCTAGTTCCCATACACAGAAACACACAAGATGGAGTATATATAACCTGAGCACTGTAGAAACGTTTCTCATGTCTGGCTAAGCTAAGCAATTGTAAATATTCTGCAATATAGCTTGATTTTAGCTGATGGGCACTCGGACAAGAGCCATACTCGAAGACAGGTTGAATGCACGTTAAATCTGCTAAAACCTATCGCTACAAAAAAAAAAAAAAAAAAAAATGTAACAGTATTTAAATTGCGTTTTTTTTTTTTGTTTTTTTTTTCAGTGCTCTCGATTTGGGTATCGAGGTTTCGCAATTTTTTCTGTTCATTGTTACAGCTCAATATTAACTTCTTCCTTACCGGAACTTGTATAACAAGAAAAGCTGTATATGCCGGTTCTGCCTAGGACGGCACACAATTTGCGAGGATTTCAGGTGAAAACGAAATCCGCTTCAAACTCCGTTAAAATTTCATGCTCCACCAAAAACAAATTCGGTTTTGACCGTTAAACGTAGTGCAGGAAGAAGTGAACACATAAAAATACAAACTTTATTTGTTAAGTCATGAATTGTAAGGGAACCCTGCACGGACCTCGTCTGCTCGAGTTGATGTTGATTGCACCATAGCGAGGCCATGGAAAAGAGCATCAACAATGAAGCGCAGAATCGGTTTGACGTCATATCACGCGCGACCAATGGCGTTGCACTGCGCGAAAAATGGGGGGGGGGGGGGGGGGGGGGCGTTAATTGGAGGGTGCTTTAATGTTCTCCTCTCCCCTCTCCCTGCGTATCAGTTAGTATTAGTGCTATCACACCCTCATTGCACTGAACGGAACGTCTAATCCAGGCGATATTAGAAAAAAGTCTTTCCGCATAGTCAAAATTATCTAGTAGATGTATAAAGGCAACTCGTTATAAAAAAAAAGAAACACACAAAATCAAATGCAAAAGAAAGGTATTAAAAGAAATGTGAGGAAACGGAGCGAGTAGGAAAGCCACAAAGTTTCTTATACATATGTTTCGTGCCACGCGGTCTCAACCTGTCCCACTTTTTGCTTTTTTCTCGCAGACGACAACATTATCGACACGACTGTCAAGGAGGTCAACCCAGCGAGCCAAGAAATCGAGTTCCTCACGCCACCCGACATTCTCACAATCGACGACAAAGAAGCCGTGGCCGAGCGTACGGGCGACAGTCCCGTTGAAATAGCTGATGGCGGCGCCGATGACGTCAGCACCGTCATCAAGGAAGTGACCGATGAAAACGACCCACCGGGCAGCGACAGCAGCGCCACCGCTTTGCCAGAGCAAGAAGAGGAAGACGAAGACGTGGCAATGGCGGACGACAGTCAAACAACAATTATCGCGGCTGCCGACGTTTCCGAAAATGTACTGGACGACGTCGCCGATCATACACAGGGCGACGAAGCAGGAGAGAGCAGCAACGAAGTAGGGGACGACGAAGGCGGAAGCGATCAGGTCGCCGACGATCAAGCGGCGGGCGACGAGGTGGCAGACGACGCAGTAGTGGACGACAGAAAAGCAGACGACGAAATTGTGCACGAGAACAAAGTGGACGATGCTGTTGTTTCGGACGATATGATCGTGCAAGATGCGGAATCAGTTTGAAAAGTTGTATGGTGCCTCTTTGTGATAGGTGAGAACTGGCCTTGTTAAGTGTCTTAAAGGGAAAGCAGCTTGGGAGGAGTGGTAATACAATCTCGGGAAATAAAAAAGCACACAGACACATTAATACAAACACACTCAAAAAAGAAAAAAAAAAAGATCAGGCTTACAGCTTCTTTTTTAAGTTTTCGAATGTACTTTCGTATGTACAAGTAAGATACCTAACCTTTAGTTGTCGGCAATGTTATTAGATCAACTCAGTTCTGGAAATCCCATGGAGGGGTGTGCTCCCCCCCCCCCCCTCCCCCCCCTTCTACCCCTCAAGTCTGCCACCCGTCGTTTTACGCGTCATCAAGATGCTGCATTTCAAAACTCTATTCTTCGGAGATGTTTCGGTGGAGCGCCTTTTAGGCACAGCTCTTCAAAAGTTAAAACCCGTGTATCTGTACTTACCGTAGCAGCCGTGCCCTCTAAAAACGGTATCGCGTCGAACGATGGGAGGCGGACCTTGATAAGGCCTTAGACCTTGGGGGGGGGGGGGGGGGGGGGGGAAAGAGGGGGGGGGGGGGCTACATTTCTCTACCCCCAAGGTCTATGGGAAGTTCCGTAACTTAGTTGGATCTTATAGGGAGTTTTTTAGACCGCGTTTTCCCATCCGCCTAGCCTTCCGCAACGAAGAAGCCGCTACTGCGCCTGCGCGCCGATGGCCTTGACTGTAGAGTTACGGGTATCGTAGCAAGTTGCGGAGAGCGTTGCGGAAGGTCGAAAACCATTTGCGAAAACTCCCTAATAACGTTGGTTGTCGGTGTTTTCTCAAATGTGCAGCGACGCTGTTGTGTCACTTGGTAAAATAAGGACCGTTTGTTTTCACCGTTTCTACCCCGCGTAGCCTGAGCCACTCGAACTGCGCTATTTTTGCCATTTCACTCTGGTTTAATTCAAAGGGCAAACATTTACCCACAGCATTTTGTACATTGTAAATTAAGGTCGAAGCGTATACGTGCCGTATTTCGAAATAAAATTCCGAAAGTTGTACAAAAGAAGCGGCCGAGACTCCGTGAACCACAAAACAAAGTTGCACCTGTCTAAAAAAAAAAGTGTTGCGGGAATCCGTTCTTTTATATTACACCCTTTTTACAACACGCCATCAGGCACTATTGGTGGCTTCCATTTCTTGGGCACCAAGTTCCTGATTGGATCCGACTCCTGGCCGAACCCAGACGTCACCCTCGTTATTGATACCAGCCGAGCCGAATTGACGCCGGAAGCTCACGCAGCCCTTCGTATCTAACACATCTTCCCACAGTGCGTGACCAAAACAATGGTGGGCACGGATCACTGACACAGCTGCTGCAGGTTTTGAAAATGGTCTATAGCAGTCCGCGCTTTCTGCGTACGCGTATCGCACATCATAAAATAATTAAAAAAAAAAACGCTTATAGGGTTTGTTTTTTCGAAGAAAAAGTTACAAAATGCCAAAGGTGAAAGAAACTTTTATAACTTCAGATTGTGTTGCCGAAATGTCAAAAGAATTCAACAAAAACATGACACCAAAAATAACGCATGGACAAGGAAGGAATTCCGTTACACAATTTTTTGGTGACGAAGTAGGCTATCATCACCTCATAAGCTCTGACGACAATCTTTTTTCATTGCCGTTGGTCGTTTCCACACTTTTAAACGAAAAGGAAAATAAAAAAAGAAGCTTTTGCTGCTGATAAGCAATTTCTGGACCAAAGGAAGTAAATTCCGAATATTTATTTATCAGACAAATTTATTAAATTTATCAAACTTGATTTTTGCGTGGGTCTTTTAGTTTTTTGTTATTCTGATTTGAAAATAAAGCGTGGGGTTACAAAATTATTATTTTTGTTACACATCTTGTATATAAAACAATAAACGTAACAGAGCGTGTTTTAGGGTTGAAAAAAAAAAAAACACCAGAAAACGGAAAGTCTCCTTTGAAAATGACTAAGCACAGGAATACCACCAGTGTTAAAGCTCAATACGCCAGATTTCCTGGGAGGATTTTTAATTCTATTTTGAAATAAACAAAATATGCACGCCAGAGAAGGCATTTGAAACTTCTTGAAGAACTTCAGATAAAAAGAAACTGGCAATTTACCAAACTGGGAATAGAAGACGTCATTCTGTCAGAAAAGCGTATTCTAAGCCACAACAAAGCTGGCGCGCGAGCTGTTGGACGCTCACTACACAATATATTTACAATTATTTTTAATTACGAATTTTCACAGTATTAACAATAGCTATAGAAATGACTGGCTCAAAATTTATTTCTCACTGAAACCATGGCTTTGATGAGCTGAAGCACCTCGTTCATTCACACGACCCTCGCAATTTTATGATCGCGTTGACGTCAGAACGCTCATCAGAAAGTAACTCTGCTCATGGTTACGACCGCCACAAATAGTGATTTCACTAGGTCTAAAAAGTCTAAAAGAAGGAGGCTATGAGTTTATCTTCTAGGAGAGCACATACACAGCCAATGGCGGTAAACAATAGATACACTCCATCGAATAATAAAGTTCAAGCTAAAATTAATAAAAAAAAAAACCTAATAGATTTGCGGACCGACCATAAGAATGACAAGTCCCTTGCTCATTGCCACTGCCCGCATAACATTGTTAAGACTAATCTTATTCTGATCTTCACGATCCGCGGAGACCCTTCTAGGGCTCACTGCGTGGTTGGCTTTCTCCGTGTTATTCGCGAGAATCAATTCCCGTAAATGTGTATCTAGAGCGCATACCTCTCACGAACATCCAGCACAACAATCCCGAGGTGGCGAGAGTTGCATGAATGAACGCAGCAGTGAAGTAGCGGTCACACTGCTGATACATCATACAACAGTTTTCAGACACTGTCTAGGACATGTTTCCTTCTTGTATGACGACCCTGCCACGTTAAACATACAAAAGCTGTCTGCAGACATGCTCAGAGCATACACATGTATGATGCAAGCATCCTTCGAACATGCGTGAGGCGTATCCTTCGATGTCTCTGTCATCATGTTTGTAGAGAACATCTTGCCTTTTGTATGATCTGTGATCGGTGCGACTGCGGCTCGAAAGAATCTTTTAGGTCTACGCATGGTACGCCAGGAGGAACAAGGCGTAGAACAGGAACACCAGGCGGTCAATGCCCTGGGCGACCAGAAACCATTCCTGCTTGGTGATGATGTCCTGCTTGTCCAAGGGCGAGTTGGCGTCGGTGAGTTGCTCGTGGTCCACAGGCCTAGGGGCGGGCAGGGGGCAGAGGAACAGTACGCGACCCACGACACCGGACAGAACGTTGACCAGGAACCCCGGTGGCCTGAAGACCATGGGAGTCCTGACCATGTTGAGCACCAGGACGGCTATCAGCACGGCCACGGCGATGGCGATGCACGTCGACCCCATGAACTGGACTGGAAATGGTAACCAGAGGTCTCAGTTTGCGAAGAAGGCTTTTCAGATGTTTTGAGCTTCTGCGCAAACGCGATCGTGTGCAAGAGGTCTAGGCAAGAACAACAAAAAAAAGAAAAAAAGCGACCTTCAGCTATTCCTGGCACATTTTTGCCGCTTGGCTAATCTATAAGGGATAGTTCATTATAGTCGGTTACAAGTCAAGAAGGTAGGAGAAGCTCCTCCCGCAAGCGTGATACGCCCGTTTCAAATCCCTCGGCAGACGAAAGAAGAGTTCACTGGAAACGCTCCTTGTTCCGCTTCAATGGATTCCAACTTGTCTCCAATCCCACTTTTTAAGAAAGCGACCTTGGTATTCGTCGGAGGGGAACCGAGCCCCTGAAAGCAGCCTTTGTATCCATAAGAGGGGGAACCTAATCCCCGAAAGTAGTATTTGTTTCCATCGGAGGGGGAAAACTCTAATCTCTCTCTCGTGGCTTCCACAATGCTAAGTCAAAGTCGAAAGATAAAGCAAATATGCACAGGAAGGCAAGACCCTCCTCGCGCGTTGGCCGCGATATCACGGAAGCGATGGGACGCTATTGGATGCGGAGGTGGCGGAGGGATATATGATTCCCTTTGAGGGGCATTTGCCGCTACCTTCTTTACCTGTAACTTACTATAGAAGTGTGCAAATTCTGATTTGCAGCGAAAAGCGCAGCGTCATTCTTAGTTTCAACGCTGAAAAAAAAAAGCCGGTAAGTCGTGGATTTTGCTGGCACTGCGAATGCTAAAAAGCACGCAGTTTTCAGTTTTATTCGAGTCAAATCGCTATTCTTCGCACACTCCTGCAGTTTATACCTCTATGTTAAATGCTTTACCCAGACAGTAACGCAGGAAACGAGTATTCGGTGCTGTTGTAACTTCTGTGAACTTAAGAAGAAAACGCGCGTAAACTATCCTTCAATTATACATATAAATTCGTAACTTTGCAATGGAATTCACCGCTTCACCTTATGGCACAATCGCCACAAGTAGAACCAACAATGAACACACTTCACGGGCAAGTCAGGTGTATATAGCAATCACCCTTTCCCGGGTGTAGACAATACCAACTGGCGACGAAACGACACGTTGGCGAACAAGTGGTATGTACTAAATATTATCTGAGTTGCCGAATAGCTGCTTTGGTTAAACCACAAAACAACATCGTCTCCTAAATTCACCCAGCGAAACAAGACAACTATACCAATATCACGATGGACAACTCTCACCGATCTTGGGAACGTGCAGCGACCTAAACAGATCCCTTCTGAGATTGATCATGACCAGGAGAATGCTGACGATTCCCGTACAGCCCAGCGTGATCTTCTTGCCCGAGTTGGGGGGCAGCCAGAAGATGAAGAGGGTCAGGATAGAAATGGCCACGCAGGGAAGCATCACGGTGTAGTGGTAGTTGGACGACCGGCGCTTGAGGAACATAGTGAACCTCAGCACGGGGTCTGCTCCTTGCTCGGGATGCTGAAACTCCGTGACGTCCAAGGACTCGAAGTAGCCGTCCCAGTTCGGATGAGTTTCGTCGAACGTCTTTTTGGCAAGTTTACCTGAGGGGCAAAATAGAGTCGACCTTTTTACTTCTAGGTGTTATATAGACATTTCCAGCGCTTACCACCCAGGCGAAAAATACCGAGTCACTGGGCCGTGGATGCATGCGCGGCGTCTCATATTTAGTGAATAGAGCTATAGCGAACGCTCAGAACGCCTTCGTCCCCCCTTGGCGGCAAAGATGGCAGCGCCCAGAAAGCGATGATCGGAAAGATCTAAGGAACCCTCCACGGGCTTTCCTTGCTAGTGTTGGCCCGATTGCAAGACGTCACGACACGAGACACCACGTCATGGCGTCACGTGTCGTGACGTTACTGTTACGTTCACAGAGGGGAGCCAACATCGTACAACGGACAGTTAAATATATAATAGCTGAAGTAAAGGTAAACAACGCTCAAAGGAAACGAATAAGCTCAACGTGACGACGCCATTGTTCCGTTCTTTTAGTAAACGTACCAGACAACGATTTTGTGTCTACTGTTTCTGGTTTCGCGGTCCGCTGATTTGCTAGCTGCGCTTTAAAGCGCAAAACACATGTACGACGAAACCGTCCGATCCGACGTCCGATCAGGCAATACGACGGTCGGAGGCGAGGGTTTTCAACGCTCTCCGGTGCTACGAAAACCCTCGCCCCTGAAGGTCATTCCGGCAGTCCGCACGTCGGATCGGACGGTTTCGTCGTACGTGTGTTTCGCGCTTAACTTCAGTGTGGCTATGCACCTCCACGATGCGGTCGTTAAGTTCTATTACGGGAGAAAATTCTTCGAGTTTTTCAGAGGGTATGAGACATTCTGTGGCATCCTTAAAGTACTTAATCTCAGCCCTTTAACCTCTCGGTGGTATTGTTGAGTTGTCAGCCTGCTGTTGTTCCCTTCAGGTCATTCTCAAGGCGATCAAAAAGAGAGTTACCTGCGCGCTCAATGCAGTTCTCAGCGGTATGCCGAGTCGACTTACATATAAAACATCGATCACCCATTGAGAAAGGATACAATAGTGCCGCCAAAGTTTGAATTTTCCGTGCTTTCTCGCTGTCTTCATTTTTCTTGTGACCGTTTCATTTTCCTAACGTGCATCACAATTAGAGCCTTGCGTGGAAAACAGTTTGATCATCCGCACCCGATCCGCACACGAACTCCCATCCGCAATGGTCTTAAAAAATTGTTTTCGCATCCGAGCCGCAACCACAAAGTTCGGAACCGCCTCCCACCCTAATCCGCGCATTCATTTTACATAAAAAACATGAAATCATGAAAAAAAGGAGCAACTGTAAGCTGTCTTCTTAACTTGTACAGCGAACTCTTTGTGCAAGAAGACGGTGAAAGTAATATTATCGTATTATGTCTTATCGTATTCATAAAATAAGCGATCATCCTTCTAGAGACGCTTCGCATCGGTCGAAAGAGGATCGCAGTTGTGAGATCGTCTCGGGAGTCCGTGACACTAACACAGCCCAGGAGATGCGCTAAAAAAAAGGAAATGTTAATATTTATTTTCCTTTTTGCTTTGTAAAATTAATTTCAAGCAGACACCCATTTTTTGAACATGAAAATTAACAAATGACAGATTAATAAAATTGTGTAATTTTTTTAGGCCAAATAGTAAAAAAGTGAGAGAGGAAAGGCGCTCACTCCCCGCAGCAAAGTGCTCGTGTGTAAGGTGCGAGTACACCACTAGGAAAATATAAGAATATTCAATAATGGCAGCATCTCCTATCGGTTCCAGTTTAAATCACGAACCGCCAACTGCATGCTCGAAACCATATACTTAAAAACAAACTCACTGCCAACTGTCGAGAACAAACTCACACACACGCAACGTTTGACTTGTCGAGGTTTCTATTAGAAGAAACAGAATTTCGTCGACATGGGCGGATTAAGATTGGTTCGCTTGTCTCTCATTAATACCCGCTAATAAGAAGTCTCTCTCAGTTGATGCACTTGGTTCTGGACTGCAAACTGCGCTATAGTGCGGAAACTCGTGCTGGAGCAAGTTCCACCACTCCAAAGGATCGAATTCAGTCTCCTCGATCTATTTGAAGCTTGAACACTAAGAGGCCACTTGCAGGCTTCTTCTACTTCTTTGTGGCTTGTACGTTTTGGTTTTTTTTGTTTTTTTGCCCAATAAGCGTTTTTTGCTCTTTCCTTGCCAAACATGAACACGCTTTTCTGGGAAAACTTCATTCTTTACTTTTTCTATGGACAGAATTTTTGGGGAGATAGAACGTTCAAATGCGATCTTCGGTGAGAATTGAATTTTTCTTGACGTAAAGAACAATTTTCTCATCGATTGGCACCTTTTATTAAAGGAAGTAGTTTGCTCCCGTAATATATTTGATAATGTACTTCGTATATTCTGATACAAGTTAAAAACGACAGGACGTAGCCCCTCCCACAAAACTTTATCACCACTTCTAGGACTATACCTCCCCAAAACAAACTTGCTCGAGCGAAATTTTATGAGCACGCTTACAGTTATTGCCTCGAGTCATAATATTCCGATTTAAGATATAGTCGGTAATAAACTCAAACATCATGGACCTGCCCAAGCCCAAGCTCCGAGTGTACCGTCGTAGTCTCCTCGTCGTTGTTCTCCTCTTCCAACTCTCCACCACCTAGCGCCGTTCACGTGCGGCTACCACCCTGTCCACTGACACCCGCAGTTCCTCTGTTACAACTGTCACAGTAAGTGCTTCAGTTAAAGCATTGTCTTGCATTTAGAAGACGAAACGTTAGAAAGAAGGGGCTGTCACGCCTGCACTCTCGGCTATCGCGGTAGAGCACCATACGTGGGAGCTGCCATCTTTGAAAAACTTCGTTATGACGTCACGAAAAACACGCTCTCGCAATGGCTCGCGTGGTGACACCAGTTCCTTTGAGCGGCACTTTCCGCTGTATTTCTTAAGTTGTATCAGATTATAGTATCCCTCACTTATTCACTGTACACTGTGCGGTCGCACACGCTTATGGGTCACCTCGGCAAAAATGTAGATCTGAACTAGTGGATATCCGCATCCGATCCGCATCCGTAGCCCCTGGCCTTCGTATCCGATCCGTAGTTCGCCTAATCTGATTCATTTTTAACCTCATCGGCCAGTTTATTGAGGATATCCGCAGATGATCCACGGCTAATCCGCGAATATGCAGGGCTCTAATCACAATCTGTATCCAGAGCTTGAAAAGCGGCGAGGTTCTCTCGACTTACTACTGCAAGTCTGAAAAAATGAACATGCCTGCAAAACGAATCTGACTTCCTTTTTTGTGGAGAGGTTCTTTCTTGATCGGAAAGCGATTGACTTCTCTACCAAAGTTGCGATAGCAAGAAATAAAAGAATCTCTTGTGGGCATCTGAGACCTTTTTTTTTTTTTTTGCACTTGAATTTTTTTTAGTAGGTTGAGTTCTGCACACCACAAAAATCATGATACCACGCCTACTATGGAAGATGGGAAGAGTGGTACAAGTGTTCCCTGGACGTGACGGCAATGTAAGCTCCTGCAAGTTAAGGCTTCCTGGAGCAAACGTTGTCAAGAGACCAATTCAACTTTTATATAACTTTTAGAAATGACGCAATGAAATTGCACCGTCATTTAAGGGGGCAGTGTGTTAAAGCCAAAAGCTGCAAGCAATATTACAAAGCACCCATATCGTGTTAAAAGAAAATTGTAGTGCATGAAGACTAGCGCACCGAGCTAGGACTGGCTTCCCGAATCAGCAGAGCCCAGCGATCGCCAATATGAACGACAACCCCACTGGTGCTACACAAAGAATTCGAGTAAGACCACCAACAGAATAGCAACCTGTCTATCAAGACTAGCGCACTGAGGTAGGACTTGCTTCCCGAATCAGCAGAGCCCAGTGATCGCCAGTATGAACGACAGCCCCACTTGCGACAACGAGAATTCAAGTGAGATCACCAAAGCTCGAGCTGATGAAGTTTAATGGCTCCGTCAGCCAGTGGCAAGAATTCTGGGAGCAGTTCAACCAAGTTGTACACCACAACAACGAACTAACAGAGGTTGACAAGTTCAACTATCCGAAAACTACAGTGACTGGAGATGCTGCAGCAGTAATTGCCAGACTTCCGTCGGCCTCACGATGCTACGAAGACGCAGTCAGATTGTTGAAGAGTCGCTTCGGAAACCAAAACCTGCTGGTACAGATCCATCTAAAAAGACTGATCGACGTCAAGCCGTTGCGTTCTGTATTATACCTTTGTGGTCTTCGTTGTCTTTACGACACGGTGATCTCGAACACCTGAGCGTCTGAGAACAGAATGATTAAAGAAGGGGACCTCGTGCTCTTGCCCGAAATCATGATACGATATCAACTATGGAAGATGGGAACAGTGGTGCAAATGTTTCCAGGACGTGACGACAATGTAAGATACTGCAAGTTAAAGCTTCCTGGAGGAAACTTCGTCAAGGGACCCAATTCAACTTCTCTACCAATTGGAAATGACGTAATGAAGTGACACCGTTATTTAAAGGGGTAGTGTGTTAAAACAAACAAAAATGCAAGAAGGACAGTATTACCAAGCAGACGTATAGTGTTAGAAGAAAAGAAAGTGTGCACGCCTATATCAACGAGAAAAGAAAGGAAAAAGGAAAAAATGGTCGTCTGGAACATGCACAAAAGGACGGAACGATGGCGCCGTCACCTTGAGAGCTTATTTGCTTCTGTTAAGTGTTATTTACCTTTACCTTAGCTATTAAATATTTAACTATTTGTTGTACGATGTCGGCTCTCCTCTTGCTCCTGTTGGCCATGGACGACACAGTGATCTCAAAACATCAGAGGTCTGAAAACGTTGGGAAGACAGCAGAAAACCTTCAGTTCCATGTTGTTTCCCATCGTTCAACGTACTCTCCCAAATGACCCACTCCTAGACTTCAACAGAAGGTTACTGATGGAGCAGCCGAAGGACAGGATAATTCCACGAAATACCCCAACTGGGACGACAACGCAACCAAGAAAGTCTTCGCATCCCAGCGATCAAAAAAGAAAGCAGGACAAGGTGTTTCCGGCTCTCCAGACTCGACGTAGACGCGAGTCAAGGGCACAGTGGTCAAGGGTCAAGTTTTCAAGACGGCTTCGATTTCAGTTGGCGTCGTTGTGATTTCTTCAGCATTGAGTCGGCTGGATCCTTAGGTCGTTTTCAATGCTTGTTTTGTCGAACCAACTAATCTTTCGTAAAAGTTATAGTATCATGTGCTTTCCTGGTATTCCGAGACGGCATGATGTCACATGACGTCATGCCACTTTGAAGTGACGCCATTGTGTCAGGCAACATTACAGTGTCACGTGACCCACTTGCATAAATTCCCCGCAGAAAATTGCGACATTCCGTCAGCTTCTACGTCGCTAAGATTTTCCCTCTGTCCCGCAGCAATGCCTACAAGGTTGCAATTAAAATGCTTTCGAGTATCGGCCACAATCTGCGACGCGATACCGACAATATTTTTTTACCCGCGTTTTTAGAACAGTTGTGAAACAAATGAAAAACACACTTTCTAAAACAAAAATAGAAGCAGTCAACGGCGGGGCTTACCGATGAGCTTGATCCTGTAGCCATGCGACCAGGACGACACGTTCAGGGCGCAGCGGTGCTCGTCGAAGGGGAAGTCCCTGAGCTCCATGGTGCAGCGGAGCGCGAAGGTAACAATGGGGCACCAGACCACGTTGCCATGATAGTCCGCCTTGATGGACGAGAACATGCGCACCCCGTACACGCTGAAGCTCTCGTGCACCGACAGCGTGGGCGTCCAGACGTCGCTGTCGCCGAAGGTCACCTCCTTCATGCCGTCGTAGTCGGACGGGGTCCAGGAGAGGCCCTCGTCGATCCAGTGCTGTGCCATAGGTTTGCGTTAGGTTAGGTTAGGTTAGGGGAACTCCGGCGCAGTGCTCCTCACTGCCGCCAGAGTTCCCCAGAGGTCCCCTATTTGAGTGTGTGAGTTATTAAATTTTTTTAAGAGAAAACAACTAACAGGCAAAGTATTAGAGTATCATCACAAGCATTTCGGCAGCCTTGATAGAAAATTCAATGTCCCAGTTGATACACTTAGTCCCAGATATTCCAGAATTCTCGGGATTTGTTTCGGTGACTACGCGCGGAACATAGACTAGGTCTAATAACTGTCCCCATATGTGTTCTCGCTGTTTTGAAATTTTCCTTCTAGATAATTCCAAAACAGTTGATGCCGCCTTACCACCTTCGCGAAGCATTTGCGAGTCCGAAGTACGGCATAAAGGCGAGTACCCACGTATAAAAGATTAATACTATGTGTGTCGAACAGTATTGCCCGTTCAGAACGCAACATGATGAGCCTAACGCGAATAAAAGGTTCGTGTCTTCAACTCGCAAACTCAAGAAACGATGAACCGCCTCGCTTTTAGGACAAGTCAGTCAGAGCGTATAACAGGCGCCTCCCAGGATTCCCCGCGCCGCCCAGTGCCATTTGAGTAAAACCAGTATGGCATGCCCAATGCAACGAAAATTGTTTAGAATCTCCTCGGTGAAAATGAGAAATTTCATCGAACAAGGACTTAGGCTGTAGATTGCTTTTCTCCCTCGTTAATCTGACCGGATGGATAGCATTTTTGGCATCCATAAGGTAACCCTAAACAAATATGTACTTTGACACCAACGTTACTAGAAAACTCAGTTGAGATACTCACCCATGAAACTCCAACCGCTCACGTCCTCCGAGATCGACTTAGGTTCAAAAGTAGTGCTAGGTGCGTCGATGCACGACGAGGCACGTGCAACGTGCAGCCCTTGGGAAGATCATGGCGGCACAGAGCAGCACTCAGCTAGATTTAAGACGCCATGAATTTTTCAGAAGTGGCGCGCGGCACCTGGTTCGAGCATTTGTACAACAATGAATGGCGCCACTTTTCCCAGGATAGAGGGACTTTAACCTAGGTACAATTACAGCGCCGCCCTTTAGTGGCGAGTCAAAACATTAACATGAATGATTGGGGTTGTGTGGATATTTAGACAGCGTGTAGTTGGTCAGCCATTTCAAAGTTGCGACGAGTCGCTCGCTATATATGAGAAATTTAGCCAGAGCATTACAACCGCTAGACTGGGGTCTTTAACGTGCACCACAAAGTAGTTGTACACGACCGCACGTCGATACGATGCTCATCCAGATAGAAGCGGGCAGCGGTGGGGATTAAACACAGGATCCCATGGGTTTTGCAGTGCGAGCTCTCGCTCCACGTGCTTCGAGCTGTTGTGCGCTAGCAGAACCAGCCACCGATCCCCCCCTCAAAACATGAAAGTTGCTTTCGTTGCTTTATAACGCTACTGTAAGATGGTACTGCAAGATGGCGCCACCGGGCTCTTGCGGGAATCGAGTGGCCCGATGTGTACTGCCTTTGTTTATTTATTGAATAAATAAAGTTACCGGAGTGGCCGTTGCTGGAAAAATGGCGGTGTTGGGATCGCGTTTAGTTCGGTTCTCGAGTATGAATTGGAGCCACTTTTTTAAAGCAGGCTCCTATGGCAGTTTCCCAACTGGGTTGTTCTAGTAACGTTGCCTGACACCAATATGAACGAAAAAACGCACGACTCCTTTGGCATGGCCACATAGTCGTCTCAGCTACACCGCAAGTGAATAGATGTATTCCCGAACTCGAGGCGCCTGATGGCGGCGTAATGCCACGTTGTGCAATGTGGTAATCAGTGGGCAGCAAAATCCATACGCGCTTGGCTCCTGGCCCACAGGTTCCCAGAATGCAACGCGCGCGGTGTACATACTTCAGGAAGTAGTCTAATGTTTGACGCTTTCGTATTCTCTATCCTACACTCCTCTCACATGGGCCGTGCTCCCACCGCGTATTCTAATACTATGACAAGTACAAATCTTAATTTTCGTTTTGTTCCGCCTCATTTTGTAAACAAGAGTAATAGATGTGAAACTCACCATGCAGACGAAGGCTGAGATGGATACGAAGCTCCAGGATGGTTCCTGGAACGCAGTCGCAATCAAAATCATGACATACGTCTTATTTGCATCCGACTATTTGTGTGAAAAACGTGCACCGGGTCTGACATTGGTATGCACACCATGATACATTGCATAATAAATACTGAAGTGCCAAGAACAAGGACAAATAATAAAACGTAGACAGGACAAACGCTAAACTCAAAACTGACGTTTAATAAAATGATTGTGAAAGAGAAAAAATATGTTAAGGCAATTTTAAGTTCCAAAGTAATGACAGAAATGTAGAATTATATAAAGAGAATATTATTGTGGTTAATTCTACACTTATAACATTGCCTCGAAATTTAAAATGCCCCTAACAACTATCTTTCACAACCATTTCATTAAATGGCGGTTATGAGTTTAGAGCTTGACCTGTCTACGTCTTTTATTTTTTCTTGTCCTTGGCGCTTCAGATTTATTATGTATAACCCACTCGCCCAACAGATCATTTTGATACATTGCTCCGACGAAGCGCACGTTTTGAACATTAGACGGTGCTTGCTGCATATTGCACGAGGGGAGTCATTTGTGGTGGTTGGTCGATGGGCCGTTCTCGCCGCCCTCTGCATAGTGCCGTCCTCGCAACAAAACAAAATGGCATCGCGTCACCATGTTGTGCACAACCAGAAGATAGCAAACCGGCTACGTGACCCTCGTGTTAGCGAAATCCGAAAACGAAGGGAGCAACATTGGGCAGAGAGCCAAGGGCGAAAAAAAGATGGAGGCATGCAAGTGTGCGTTCGCCGCACGTGTAACTTTAAATTTTATTTTCGTGTATTAAAGTCTTTCATTTTCCTAAAAGTTTGTTTAGTTGGAGGAAAGCCAACACTAGTGATGTGGTATTAGTTTTGTTTGTTTGTTTATTGTTGCCGCTAGCTTAGGAGGGCCAATACAGGGTGGCGTTTTAGCACTCAATACGGTGGAAAACAAAATATACTGTAAGGTCCAGGAGACTCCTGCGTGATGCTGTTCATACACCATGCAAAAGGCATGGTGGGCTCGCTGCAGGCACGATGACATAACTGCCTGCGAACTCGCCTCAAGCGTCTTCGAAGCATGCTTCAGACCTACGCATGCTTCGACCACGTCTGCAGACCGTTTCGATATGACCAACGTGGTAGGACCGTCATACAAGGAAGAAACAAGTTTCATACGGTAGAACGGAACTAGTAGGGAGTTTTAGGGAACCCTTCTTGCACATCTAATAGATGGACCCTCCGGTACGAACTGCGCATATACGAGACTTCTCCGGTGGCGCATGCGCAGTTCGTACCCGGTTCCCTAAACGGTTCCCTAAAACTCCCTAGTGTCTGGAGTCCGTCTTTTGTATGGTGCAATATTTAGCGGTCTTACAGCGGCTTAAGGGTTTGCACGCTTGTTCCTTCCCGTCCCCCGTTAGAGGATGCCGAGTCAGCGTAGCAATTTTTGTAGGGCAAAAAGCGAACAAACTCTGACTGCTATTTTTTTATCTGTGCCGAAAGGGCGAATTCGGTACATTTTCTCGATTTTGGGGTTACGACTGCTTTTAGTGAAAGGAGTGTTTCTGAAATACGAGGTGCCTTTTTTTGCGATGCCTCATGTAGTTTTGTAAATATGCTATCGCAAATGTTAGGTTTCGGGGGTCCGCGGCGAAACCGAAACTACCAGCTCGAGCATGACGGTACCTTTTGCGATCAGCTGCGTGGCCATCATGTGGCGGGAAGTTGGTACCGCGTTACAGCGAAACGTGCGACTGGCCTAGCTGCAATAGCAGTTCCGATTAGCCAGGATAAGATGCTACGGCTGCTTCACTTGTTTGCATCGTAGATATCGAACATCCGTAGCAAATATTAATACACATTCATAAACTTTCCTGCCAAAAATCGAGCCGTTTATTATGAACGCAGGCTCAGAACGAGCCCCCACTTATCTTCTGAGAACTACAATATTGGTAGCGCGCAATGGACGTTGCAGAAGCGTTGCGAAAGCTAATGGTGAGCTCGCGCGCTGAGCAGGAACGTACCAAACTATGGACTCCAGTTAATGACACCTTCGGCAGCACAACGCGCTTGAGCGAGCGGTCAATAATCTGTGTGCGCGATCTGTGAGAAGCACTTACAAACTACAGCAGTTAAAAGAAAACATAAGAAGCAGAAATCGTCCGCTGAGACGGCTGAAAACGCAGCAGAAAAACACGGCGAAAGAAGTGGCAGTACTAATAATAGCCCGATCTCATCAGTCAGCTTGACTACGCCACCGGTGCCGCAATGCATCGATGGAACTTTAGTCTTTCTGCTCGCGCAACAACCTTGCTCAATCTCTGCGCCTGCGGAGCACGATACGGCACGAGCCCTCGCATGCACGGCCGCCTGCCTCCGTGAACGAAAGTTATGGCGGCGTCACGCATGCGCCGAACGCTTAGTGATATCGGTCGTTAACATGTTTGAGTACGAAGATGATATCGGGGCACAATGTTATTCGACAAACAGCGAGCCCGCCGAATGCCGCCGAGAAGCTGGTGCTTGGTAGCGCTTTTAATACCGGTTTTCGAGTAAATCGCGGTTCTCCTAATACTTTGACGCGGCGGTCGTATTTAGTCTTTGTAAATAGATATTAGGCGTTTATTTTACTTCAACCTTTGACCGGAGTTATTCTTTAAGGGCGGTTTGCGAAACTTCGTGTTATTGAGGCGCGAGATCCAATAATAAAGCGTCTCACAAAATCAGACACTTATGGGATGGCCCTGGAACTCTCTAGCTTGCTGCCCGAATGATAAGATAGTCCCCCATATGAGACAAGCACAGCGTCGCTATACTCCACCGTAGCCGACTATCCGATTGGGTCAATGAAGTGGCGTCAAAAGCGCTTCATCACGTTGCTCATTGCCTTTGTTCGTTTTGCTACCACCGGTCAAACCAACCACACGCAGTGAATGCTGCCGTTGATCACGCTTCCTGTTGTGCGTGATCGGTCTAGCCGAGGACAGCAAACCCGGACTTCGTCAAAGAGTAAAGGCTCGTTCACACACTTATAACCGAGTAATACCGAGAGAAACAAGCACGCCTCCTGCGCAGAGCTGGCAGTAATGTAATTACTGTAATGAAATTACAGCAATTTAATTACTTGTTCCAGTAATTAGTAATGTAATTCATTACTTTTTGTAGCAGGTAATTTAGTAACGTAATGAATTACTCCAGCGACGGGAATTGTTATTAAATTACCTAATTACTTTTTCGCACCAGGCATATTTTTGTGTCCACAATACACAAGAGCGCTTTTCTTTTTATTTTACTTTTTCTTTTTCCTCTACACCTTTCCAAAAAACGCTCTTCGGCCGCCGCTATGTTGCTGATGCTAATGCGGCTGGTGCGACTCTCGCGCCCGCTATCAGCTAGACATTTTCTGCCACTCTCTTGAACTATGAAAACCCGCTCAGCGCGATTCTCTACCTATGTTTTGCGGTTTTGCATTCGACGTTTTCTGGCCCCTCTTGAAAGTTTCCGCTTACTTTTTCGGATGCCTGATGCGTACCCTCTCTGTGTTACCTTCCACTGCGAAAAATAGGGCTGGTAAGTGCCTGCCATTCGAGCTTTTCTGCTTGACATTCTCGGGAAACGAAGGAGGGGAAGTAGGTCGAACTAAGGCCCCTGGTGGAACGGCCTCGACGCGATTTTGCGAACAATGACAATTGTTCTCCCCCACCCAGAGATAATCCGCGTAGGGTCCTCAGTCATCTCCAAAAATAGTTGTCCGGGTTGGGGTGGGAAACGGATCAGTCGCGTGCGTTCCTCTGTCCATCGGTAAACATGCAACAGAGAGTTCTAGCTGTGTGCCATGAACTGTGTAAATAATGGAAATAAAGTTATCTGTAAAAGGAAGTTATCCGTATAATTGTAAACGTCTGTCATTTTTTATCACGTCTTCAGCCCCGCATTCGGCGCACATGTTGTCAAATGGCCTGGTGTTTGAGCCTGGCTCGCCGCTGCATATGCCGCATGCCGCCACAAAGGCCCCCCCCTCTAGTGCCCTGGCTTTCGATATGTGAAGTCAGGAGACGAACTTCTGAAATTGAAGTTGTTCAGAATATAAAGCGCCAAAAAGCGACAGGACAAAGAGGAGAGTAAACAGGAAGAGACGCACTCGCAACTAAAATTTATTTATGACAAAAACACATAATATATAGGCCGTTAAAAGCGCCTATTCGTCACATCAATCGATATGACCCCTTGATAAAATCAAACTCTTTCCCTTAGAGGGCAAGGGAAGGTTCACTGACGCATATTCGTCTCCCTTCGCCCTAATCTCAAACGCCTCGTGCACTTCTTGGCATATTTTATCTTCATATTTCGCCAGAACCATCACATCATGTAGAACTGGTGAGCACGGGCAGTAAACAAAGTATACAAAAGTAATGAGAAAGTAATGTCATTACTTTTTAAAGTAATTTGTAATGGTAATTAATTACTTTCTGGCTGTGGTAATTTGTAATGTAATTTAATTACATTTCAGCAATTTTCAGCAAAGTAATTAGTAATGTAATTTAATTACAAAATATGAGTAGTTTGGCCAGCTCTGCTCCTGCGACGTCTCAGGACTGGATGCGATGTTGCGGAGCTGATCCGAAGACGTCGTAAGAGCTAGGCTCAAAAACTGGTCTTGACTCTTTCGGTCATACTCGGTTGCAAGTGTGTGAACGGGCCTTAATACTTGGAGAGTTCGTCCCACCTTAGAAGGTACCTGTTCGACCCGAGAGGTTTTCACTTAATACAAAGTAAGGAAATAGTGCGTCTACTATTCCCGAAAAGCGGTTGGGAGAGCCGATTGCTGAAACCTGTGGAAGCGGCTGCTTGATGAGTGAATGTGGTCAGCCCTGAAAAATGCTGTCTCTGTTCTGGCGCTGAGCGTGACGTTCCACATGCTGAATGTCACAGCGAAGCCAGTTTTTGTTAAATATATGCATATTTACTGCCTTGTCGTTCACTGAGACTCCCTCCGTGGATTGAAGAGATTGCAGTGATTGGCTCTCTCAAGCGGTTTGCAAGAAAGTTGACACACTGCATATCTTTTTTTTATAGTATACTCATAACAATTTTCCACAACATGAGTGGGTGACCGCATCTAAAGGAACGTAGGACAACACCACTTGGGCTGGACACTTACCATGTATCTCAGCTGTTTCGCGTAGATTGTGAAGTTGACGATCGTGTCCGAGGAGTGACTGTTGAGTGGCTGGTAGTTCTTGTCATACTTTTCGGAATCCGTCAAGTTCTGGCGGAGTTTTTTTAGCGTCGGCCAATCGGTGTCAGCTCCACCTGAACAAATGACGTCGTACTCAATGGTGTCAAGATGGCCCCGGCACGCTGACACAAGAGCCGCATATCGAGAGAGTTTGGTGAAGGGGTAGAAGCTGCCGCCAGCGCCGCATATTCCCACCGCGATAAACTTGCGAAGTATGAATGAGCTAGGATCACCTTGAAGGATTCGCGTCGCGTGCCGCAGGTATCTTTTTTGTTTTCTGGATGAAGATGAAAGCACACGGATGTACAACTTAAGATGTTGATGGAAAAGGGGAGTTTCAAGGTGCTTAGCGCGTTTACTGAGTCAGGAAAGGGTGGCATTGGCGACAAAAATTTCCTGAAACATGAGGCGAAGCTGCGAATGCGGGTTGCGCGTTCGAGGTTTGGGTCAAAACTCCCACGGAGCCGAATTGACCGCTTTTAGCCTCAACTACGTCGTGTCCTCCGAAGCGGTGCCACGAGTGCAATCAAAAGAAAGATTAAGTGCGTTCGGAATGTCGCCGTGACGACAACGTCACATGTGTTGCCCTTTCAGTTACAAAGAGTAGCGAATTCGAACTCTAGCGTGCTGATATGAAATACCTGAACCCATCCTTACCTAGAGATCTTGATTGGTCTGTTCCCATGACCTGACGTCATGGGAACAGACCAATCCACTCAGTTTTCCCGCCAAATTAAGCGAAACAACTGACGTCACGTGATGCATACTCCAATGCGATTTCCCCGCTAAATTAGTCGGGAAAATGGAGTCACGTTACCTTTACACCTTGGGGAAATGAACGGGTCGTTACCTACTGGTCGCCAAATTTTCCCTGCTAAATTTAGCGGGAAAATTTACGTCGTGTGAACTAGGCATCAGTTCAGCTTCCCAGCTAAATTTGGCGGGCGAAACGACATCACATGACCTGACGCCACGTGACAGATAGAACCATGCAGTTTCCCGCTAAATTTGCCAGAAAAATATGCGTGACGTGACACACCAATTCCCTTAACGAATTTCCTATAATACATTTCATGGATTTTAAAACTTTGAATGTGAAGGTCGCGGTGAGTTTTAATTATCGCGATTATCTCGCTTATCGCCAGCCTCTGTCATTGGTTTCCAGCGTTTTTTTTCGTTCAGCAAGCCACCCTAAAGCGATCTTCTAAAACAGTGTGCAGACGACAAACGGGCTTGTATACGACATAAAAAGTGCACTGTATCCGATTTTGCTTAATTTTTAAATATTTTACTACCTCCGGTCTAAGCTAAAAAAAAAAATAGACATCAATTTTTTTTTTTTTTTTTTTGCAAATTTACGTTTGCGTGTTAAATTTCAGATATGTACGTTTGGAATTAGAATTTCGCAAAGCGTGCCAAATGCGTTGGTCCTTACTGCCGCACCCTGTACATACATTCACTGACAGTTTAAGAGACGCAGGGTGTATCGAGCCCCGTGCATCTCATCATCAGTCCGGAGCCAATGAAATTACGGCGTTAGCCGATAAGAATGCCAAGGTGACAATTACAAAGCGAGAAACGTGATTAACATGATAGGCCACGCCCTACGTTCCTTGAGCTGTCGGCGACTACAGTTCGGCCTGTCATGCTTCGCTGGTATTAAATGCAGACGTATTATCGGAAACAAAATGAAAGGGAACAACAGTACGTCTTTCTTCTTCACACGGTTTCGCGGCTCCCACAACCTTCGTGAAACCTCAACCTGTCAAACAGTATATATTTGGGATCTGAATGTTTTGTTCTAGACCTCGTCGGGGCCATACCTTGTTCCAAAAATTGTAAGCACCCCCCCCCGCCCCCCCCCCCCCCAAAAAAAAAAAAATCGAGGATTATTTTTTATATATATAAATATACGAGCCAGACAATCTGTCTCGCAATACCATCTCATTGCGTTTACTTTAAACTCAGAAACGCAAAACCGTAAAACGGACATCTTAAAACGTTACAGGCCCCTAATTCTAAAAAAAGAAAAAAAACTGAGTTTATTTTTGTGCACAACACTGAGACAGTCAATCGCGGCAAAGAACAGAAGGACAGCAGAAAAATGATGAAGCTCAGAATACGATTACACCTAAAAATGGCGATGTACACAGAGACAATTTAGAAGCTTAGTGACTCTGCGCACATCGCATTTTCTGGTCCAATCGCATTCTGAGCTTAGCAATTCACTAAGATGCTTCTGCTGTTCACCGTGATTGACATCGCCCGTGTTCTGCAGGAAAGTGAGCTCGCAGGCCTAGTTCAAAGCGTACTCGGACACCTTCAGCATTACGCGTCCCACCACTACGGTGGTGGGGCATTGCAGCGACGATAGGGCGAGGCTGCCATTTCTTTTTGTTTTTCTACCTTATTCAGCGACACAGAAAAAACACCAGTATGATATATGGCCACCGACTGACTACCAACGTACCGGCAGGAGTGATGGTGATGGCTGTCAAGGCAACCAGGGTCCCTCCGAGGATGAAGATGGCGTGGCGAAGCCCGGCCATGGTTGAGTCTCGAAATGGCATCGACTGCGCGGAGGCTACCCTCAACGCGTTTTGCGAGTCACTCCCCTTCGCTCCTTCGTGGTCAGGTGGGACTCTTCCGCACCGCCATCTTTGTTTTCCACGCGCGCCTGGTACAGGCCGAAACCGAAACCGAATAAAGACAGCCAGCTTCTGCGAAGCGAGGATACCGTTTCATGACGTCATCCGAATTCAAGAGTGAACGGTAAAGAGAAAAGAGGGGGCGACTAGTCGCCATACTCCTATTCACCCCAAGAACCGCATGTAGAAAAGGTCCGACTCCTCGCTGAGCATACCTAATTTACTGCTTTATGTGGTGAATTAAAATATATGTAGCTGCATCTTTGATTAGCTTTACGTTATTTTACCGAGACGTACACGTCTCTAATGCCCAAAAGCTTCACTATTATAAATATAAGAGAAAACGTTACAATCGCTATATTTGCACTACTTTCACACATAATAACTAAACATATGCGAGGGGCGTCTCTAGATAAAACATTAAGTAAAAATGTTCCTGCAAATTTAGCGAACATTGTCATCCGTGCAAAAGCGACGACGTTTCCGTCTCTGCTGATCCGAGACTGCCGCCGGTAGAGCACACGAGTGGCAGACGCGTGCGTCTTGACGCCGCCATCTGCTAACGTCGTGCCCGTAGCGAGATGCTGCAAGACGCGCTGTCGACGAGGTTGACAGAAGGCTTGGCGCGCTGACTGGATCCCATAGTGAAGGCGTTTTGGAGGGAAAGGCGCAAGCCTTGTCTTCTACGTGTGATTCGGTAAGCAAGTCGTCTGCTTCTTGCGTAGGAGTTGCGGTGACGTCAGAACGATGCTGAGCTCTGATTGGCTTTGATTGAAAGGATAGTGGGTAGACCTTTATGATAGATGCCTTGAGGTCTACCCACTGTATTTCTTTAGATCAGCCAATAAGAGCTCGGCGTTCTGACATCAGCGACCCTTGTGCAAGAAGCAGACGAAATATCGCTTCGCATTGCTTGAACACAGCATTAGACACTGCTAGACTAGTAAATCAAGCGATACGTCAACATATATATTTCTTTATTTAAACGTCCCCGTTTCTTTTTTTTAGTTTAACTTTTTATTTTTATTGGCAGCTCTGAAAACGGGGACGACAGAGTTTTAGGAACCACCATGGGGCCATCGCGCCAACCTTTTTAAAGCGACACTTTGCTAAAAATAGTATGAGTATTGACAAAAAAAATGGCAACCATTGGTGCGAACGGGTCGCCTCCTAGCGATGTAGATTACATGTAATGCGATGCTCCCCCCCTCGTGTTTCCCACTTAAGGCAGGGGTTCGAAATAGATCGAACCGACTCTGAGACGTAACCCGATCCGAATGAACGTCTTGCGACATACACGCCACACACCTTCTCGAAAAGTCGATGTCGCCAACGCGCATATTATTGGCGGAACGATGGTTACGGCAATAAGGCTACGCCCGTCCGCCGTCTTGGTTTTTATTGTCTTTCAAGCGGGACTAACGGAATGCGGTAAGTCGGGGTCATTATTTGGTGTAACTCTTTGCCTTATGCACGTCATGGGTTGGATGACAGAATAACTTATATTATGAATGCAGTAGATGCTTCGCCCCCGGCGCGAGCTTTCTTCCTTTCATAATACCTCGTCCCACCAGCGCCGGCAAAAAGATGTCTTTTAACTTTAAATTCAAGAAGATTACCATTTTTTTAGAAGTTTTGTTTTTGAAAACAATAGGCGCAACAGCACCTTCCAGAATCACATTGAAGCAAATGAACAACAACAATAAGAAAACCGAAAGTTTCGTTTTTTTTCTTCTTTTGTAAATTACACATTACAAAACACCAGCAGTGTTAAAGCTCTAGTTGCCAGGTTTCATGAGTGTTGTTTTTATTATGTTGAAAAGAGACAAAGAATGAATGCCTGGAATGACATTTGAGGGTTCATATTGCAAAACCTACGATAAAAGAAACTCGTAAACTAGTTAATACGGAACAACAAAAGTATAGCGAGTTACCCGACGCTCACCACACAATAACTTCACAAACATAAATGTATTTTTCTTTTAAATTACGGTTTGACACAGTACTAACAATAGCTATAGAAATGACCAACTCAAAATTTAGCTGTCACATATAAAACACGACTTCCATGAGCTAGCTTCCTTAACCTGAGGCACCTCGTTCATTCACTCAACTCTCGCAACCTCGTTATCTCAGTGACTGTCATAACGTTCATCAGAAAGTAAAGGCCGTTAACACATTTGCGTTTGAGTGTGCTAGAGCGTATTGCATTCCCTTGCTGCCACTTACGACGAGACTACACGCTGGCGCCATCTATGGGATGTGAAAAACTGAATCTGCGTCTATATTTTAAACTTTTTTACAGGTAATGGTTTTTCTCCGTGAGCTCGAAGTAATTTTAACAATGCTATAGGCTTTGTTTTTCAGACCTAACGCGTAGAGTTGCGTAGTTTATCTCTACGCAGTTCCAGGACGGCCCACAGATGGCGCCAGTTTTGTAGTGTATTCTCTTTTCGTAACCGGTCGAAACGCAAAACACTTCATCAAACTCAAACGCAAACGCGTTTCCGCCAGGAGTCGTGACGTCAGTCAACCCCGTCTACTCTCACGAACATCCACTCACGAAAATTCCGAGGTGGCGAGTGTTGCATAAACATACGCAGCTTCAAAGATTCTTTTTTTTTTTTCGTCTAGGCATGGTACGCCAGGAGGAACAAAGCGTAGAACAGGAACACCAGACGATCGAGGCCCTGGGCAACCAGAAACCATTCCTGCTTGGTGATGATGTCCTGCTTGTCCAAGGGCGAGTTGGCGTCGGTGAGCTGCTCGTGGTCTACAGGCCTTGGGGCGGGCAAGGGGCAAAGGAACAGTACACGTCCAACGACACCAGACAGAATGTTGACCAGGAACTCTGGTGGCCTAAAGACCATGGGACTTCTGACCATGTTGAGCACCAGGACGGCTATGAGCGTGGCTACGGCAATGGTGATGCACGTCGATCCCAGGAACTGAACTGGAAAGTGTAACCAGAAGTGTCAGTTCACGAAGGAGAAATTTAGTTATTTTAATTTTTTTAGAATAAAAAAAACAGTACATGCACGAGAAGAGCCCAGTAAATGTTTCGCCTCGAAAGCGATTTTTTTATAACACTTTGCAGCACATGCAGTTAAAGCCCCGTGAAAGGCTGTGAGCGCGTACTAGAGGCGAAGTTTCTGCTGAGTTCTGAAATTGTCACCGACCGTAGACAACGACGGCAACAAAAAAAGACTACATTTGGCTATTCGTGGTACGTTTCTGCCACCCCGATAATCCATAAAGGGTAGTTCACACAGCTACGTTAAACGCATCACCGTGACTGCGACGCGGAAGAGTAGTAGTCGATGCTGTTGCAACTGCTATTAGCCTAAGAAGGGAACGTCCTGTGAACTGGCCTGTAATCATAATATAGATTGATGGTTTGCGACATGGTTCACTGCTTAACCGAGTCACAGAAGTGAAACCATGACGGTAGGAAGCATCTGAAAGCGACGTGACGCCACCAGATGTGGAGCCGGGGTGCACTTCCGGTTTGGAGAGACATGCCCCCAACGATGACACAAAACGAACAAAACCAAGAGACGCTATGCGGAGCGTAAGTTCGTCTGCTTCTTTCACGGGGTTTCCGATGATGTCAAAACGCCGAGCTATTATTAAATGATTGAAAAAATAGTGGGTAGACCTCAAGGCATCGAGCATTGAGGTCTACCCACTATCCTCTCAGTCAAAACCAATCAGAGCTCGGCGTCGTTCAGACGTCACCGCAACCCCTGCGCAGGAAGCAGACGACTTGCTCTCCGGATTGAACGGAAAGGACACCCTTGGGCACCTTTGGGGGAGCTCTACTGACCGCAACCTATACTTTCGCCTTCATTTGGGATTTTTTCGTTTGGCAGGTTTGAGCCCTTATGTCGCCTCCTCTTCCTACCTCCAAGGACAAATACCCCTCTCAAGACAAGTCAAGTGTACATTGACAGCAACTTTTCTTGAACGTGGGCCACAAAACGACATCTTGGCCAACAAGTGGTCGCACTATACTCAAGACTTCATGAATCACCGGTAAACTTCTTTCACTAAACCAGGGCGCAGCGTGGTCTCATAGCTCGTCCAGCGGAAAGCGCCCACTTCCAAGATCAAAATGGCCTTCACTTACCGATCTTGGGAACGTGCAGCGAGTCGCTCAGATCACTTCTGAGATTGATCATGACGAGGAGAATGCTGACGATTCCCGTACAACCCAGCGTGATCTTCTTGCCCGAGTTGGGGGGCAGCCAGAAGACGAAGAGGGTCAGGATGGACACGGCCACGCAGGGAAGCACCACGGTGTAGTGGTAGTTGGACGACTGGCGCTTGAGGAACATGGTGAACCTCAGCACGGGATCTGGGCCCTGCTCGGGATGCTGGAACTCCGTAACGTCCATGGATTCAAAGTAGCCGTCCCAGTCGGGGTGGGTCTCGTCGAATGTCTTCTTGGCCAGTTTACCTCAGAGAGAGAAAAAAAGAAAAGTCGGCCTCTTCACTTTTTGCTGGATACTGCGGTCTTCACGCATTGTCGAGGGTTAAACGTGCACAATTGCACAAACTACAGATATGTCTATGATGTCTATGATTCTACAACGTCGAATTTCATCGTACCAGACTGAGCCGAATTTATAGAGTCACTGATAGATGAAGAAACGAATGGCGTGGCAAGTCCTGAACATCTTATCATCGCCCTGGATTTAATGAGATAGCGGCATTAGCGGAACGGCGAATAACAAATCGCGAAGCAAAACGCGAGTACATTAGGAGCTACGCCCCGCGTTTTTTATACTGTCAGTGACTGTAGCATTTCAGTGCGCTTTTACGTAATGGTGAAACATTATAGTTAAACCCTCTTCACGCGTCAACTGTATTATTTTTTAACAGATTGCGGTAGCAGTTGGAAACCGCACTTCCAAAGCCACAGTCGCTCCGCTCGTACGTACATCATGCAAAGTACACGCGTGTACTCTGCATGATGTACGTGTGTACTTTGCAAGCATCTTCAAAGTATATCCGCTTCATACATGTATGTATGCTTCGAACATGTCTAGATAATCTTTTGCATGACCAATGTGGCAGGAGCGCCACATTAGTCATTGAAGGAAGAAACAGGCCGCAGACAGTGTCTTCAGTCTGTCTTTGGTGTGATGCGTTGAGTGAGCGCGGCTTTAAGAAATGAAGTAGCAATGGCGGAGCTTACCGATGAGCTTGATCCTGTATCCATGCGACCAGGAGGACACGTTCATGACGCAGCGGTGCTCGTCGAATGGGAAGTCCCTGAGCTCCATGGTGCAGCGGAGCCCGAAGGTGACCACGGGGCACCAGACCACGTTGCCGTGGTAGTCCGCCTTGATGGACGAGAACATGCGCACCCCGTACACGCTGTAGCTCTCGTGCACTGACAGTGTGGGCGTCCAGACGTCGCTGTCGCCGAAGGTCACCTCCTTCATGCCGTCGTAGTCGGAGGGGGTCCAGGAGAGGCCCTCGTCGATCCAGTGCTGTGCCATAGGTTTGCGTTAGGGCCTCGAATACATGCTTCACAGATACATCAGTGGTGGCGCAGGCGAGCTGGTGTAAATTTACCATCCTCTGAAACCCGCTGAGACTGGGTGGAGCACGAAAATAATCTGAAGTAGAAGAGAAAGAAACATGGTGGCAGAAGGCAACAAACTAAACCATTTCCTTGAACTTCCTGAGACTGCCTTCTGTCATTCTGCCCCTATCTCTTCAACTTTGGACACTTCTTGCACTCCACCCAGTCTCCGTCGGGTGGTTTAAAAAAACGGCAAAGGCCACAGTTCCATCGAGGTCTCCTATTCAAGTGTGCTAAGTTTCTAGAATCTTTTTTCTTAAAGAAAAGATAAAAAAACGGCAGGTTTTAGGCCTTAAGCCGTTACCAGGCCTTCGTTTGTTATGCTGAAAAAAAAGTTCTTATAGTCGTAAATACGAGGGGGGACCTTGAGGTAAGCGGAATGAATTTCTGGAGAGCAGGGCGTTCGTAGTACCAGCTTCCGCCGAAAGCAGCGCTTAGCGGCACCCCTTCCCGCCCCTCTCGAGTCAGTCTACTAACCGGCGTGGTCTGCTAAAGTTCTAGCGGCATGTTGTGATTTTTTTCCAAAAGCGCTTTAAGATCATTCCTCGTTTTTTTGCAATGTCTGATTTGAAGAACCTTCAACATTCCCAAAACGATTTCCTATCAAGACTTTTTTTTTCACACAGGCGAGCAGAAAATAGTCACACGGGGCGAGGTCCGGTAAGTAAAGGGGTATATACACGATGTCATGCCACTTTGGTTAAACATTGTTGCACAGACAGGGCAGTGTGTGCTGGGACATTGTCGTAATGCAACTACCACTCCCCCCTTTCCCTTAAATCGGGGCGTTACCGCCTCACTGAAGTGCGCAAGCGTCGCGAAGTTCCTAAGTAAAACACCTGATTAATAGTTTGACCAGGAGGAACAAACTCAGAGCAAACCATGCCCGAATTTTTAGATGTTTTCATCAGTTGTAAGGTCGCCGATCAATATTTCACCGGCCATGAAGCGAGAAAAGCACACGTATACCTGCGATTTCTTAATAGCATATTCTTTATAAGCTGTCTGAAGCATTGCAAGAGTTTCCTCCGCAGGTTCCCTAAAGGAAAAAAGAGAAGATTAATGATTTTGAAGACTTTAGGGGGGAATTACAACATGCCGCTATTCGCCTCGAGATTTGATCGACATGGCTCAAGTGGTGGAAAGTAGAACTACGCTTTGTTTTACACTTACTTGGAGCAAAACGAATACGCCAATGTCTCTTATGGCTTCGGCCATGGGAGGCGTCAATGCAGCGCTCGCGCACTAGAATCAACTGCTGAGAGCTCGTGCTCTGTGCCGTTAGTGTGGATGGTTTGTATGCAACCGCATTGTTGACGGATGGAATTACCACGTGCCTCATAGAGAACCATGGATAAACAAAAGCACGCTTCCCCTACTTTCAATCTGGGTCTCGAGGCCAATAACTTCAGCAGACGACGCCTGTCGGCAAACTAACTCGGAGGAGGTGTCGCTAAGCGCTACTAACTGCGGATGCCGGTACTATAGGAACGCCCAGCTCTCCTGAAATTCTGAAACTTACTGTGGATTTTTAGAGTCTCTTGAAATAAATACATGATTATGATGTCTAGATTTGTTTTAAATATAATTCGTGACTGCCATATGAAGCCGATTTTATTCCAATTGTGTGATAAAACATGTTAAAAATCTATATTTTTTAAACAAACCTTTGTATTGTACTCTAAAGTTAAATCCAAAATTAAAAAAAAAAAAAACATATTCATGCCTTAATACCATAAAAAAACTCTGAGATTCTTTTTTTTTTTTTTTTTTTTAATATCAACCTCTTCATGACCACGGGACTTTGTCCGAAGTCGCTCACCGAAACTATATTTGAAACTGCATCACGATGTTCATTCTGGTCTAGGCTTTTCATGCGTTTAAAATAAATAAGGACACATATATGTTCATGTTTCCGTTTTTCTTTATTTACTGATAACTTAATTTAACTTGAATATGTCATTGAAGTGCATGCAATGCTTAGGGCGGCTATGTCTCCCAAGAATTTCCGCGATCTAGTTCATTACCTTCATAGTAAAGCAGTCATGAAATATTTTCACTAGCCAGAATTTTATATGCGATAGCATTTAGAATTTTGTGTTCTGCTCTGTGCTTTCACCGAGGGTTATAAATGCTATGATAAGTGCAATTTGTTTTTGCTCCTTTCATCTTGTGAACCTCTAGGATGTAGACTCACCATGCATACAAATGCGGAAACGGACATGTAGTTCCACGTGGGTTCCTGAAACGCAATAACGATCGAAATCAGTGCTTACATCTTATTTTCGACCAGTAAAATATGGGCACAGCGTGCACACATTCTGACATTGATCTGCTGAGTATGATGCATGGCAGCAGCGTATAGGGTACGTTTGAATCATCAGGGCGTACTTTCTGCATATTGCCGCAGGCATGAACGAGAAGGAACGCTTCTCCGTACTTCTAGAATATTCGTGCTTGCTCTTACCACGAGTTTAGCAGATAAGGAGGCCAGAATGACCTTGCCGAGTCAGTCTCGCCCTAGCTCACTCCCGAACGTTCCAGGTAGAATATTTGAGGCAGTGCCGACTCAGTCTCCCAACGACAAGAAACACTCACTCTCGCAGTCTCGCTCTAGCCAGCTGTTCCGCCGACGCGGCGACATTCGCTGTTGCCGTTTCGAAAGTTCATTCTTCTTTTGGGTTTCTGGCCCAAGTTCGCCGATTAAACCTTAATTCTTAGTTCTACGCTTGTAGAGCATTTCCCATCCTCTATTGCGGAGCCATTTATAGAAGTTGGTCGATGGGCTCATTTCGTGACCCACTGTAGTGAGCTGTTTTCACAAAAAAAAAATGGCGTCACACCACCATGTTGTGTATAACCAGAAGATGGCAAACCGGTGACGCGTCCCTACTAACATGCATCTAAGCCTTCCTGTACCATTGACTTCAAAAGACTCCTACATTCTCCTCGAAGACGTGAATTCTCTTTGGACTCGACAAACAGTGCAAGACACAACACCCGGGTACATTATAAAGATCTGCCTGCTTGTTCCCTTATGTCATCCGCCTTGACAGAAATCAGCATCACTGTAGCAATTCTTTTGCCAGGCAAAAGCGAGCAAACTCTAATTGTTCATATAAGCTTTCATTTGTTTACATTTGTGTTTAAAGAGAGTTTGGTGATTTTCGGTAGCACTGACCCGCAAGAGTGAGCAATGAAGAGTTTCCAGATCGGACGTTTGCGGTAGACTTTTGAAGCTTCCAGATTGGTGTCCGAATGTGGTGTACCGCACAAAACAAGCTCGGCGTCGGTACTTCATGAGGCTGTCCAACTTTAGATGGTGTTCTATCTGAGAGGTTTGGTGCGTCTACTATTCCCACAAAACACTTGGAGAGCCAATCGCTGAAATCTAAAGCCAGACGAATGACAAATCTGAAAATATGTTCAGACCTAAATATACACTCGGCATTCTGACAGTGAGCACGACGTTCCACATGCTGAGTGTCACAGCGCAGCTTGTTCTTTTCTTCTTCTTTTTGTTAGATCTAAACATATTTCCAGCCTTGTAATTCGTTGAGGCTCCCATCGTGGGTTGAAGAGAGTGAAGCGAACTGCTCTCCAAAGTGCTTTGCAGGAAAGTAGACACACCTCATATCTTTTTTTACAGCATAATCATAACAAATTTCGGCGGCATGAGTCGGTGACTACAACGCATCTAAAGGAACGTATAAGGCAACACCACTTGGGTTAAAAACTTACCATGTACCTCAGCTGTTTCGCGTAGATTGTGAAGTTGACGATCGTGTCCGAGGAGTGACTGTTGAGTGGTTGGTAGTTCTTGTCATACTTGGCCGAGTCCGTCAAGTTCTGGCGAAGCTTTTTTAGCATCGGCCAATCGGTGTCAGCTCCATCTGAACAACGACGTGATACGATTCGTACTCAACGATGCCAAGATGGCCCGGCAGGCTGGCAGTCAGTTAGCGAAACATCACTCTAAAAAAAGCCCGTAAGCCTGCTCACCCGCACAACACTCGGAGAGCCAATCACCTCAGCTTACGGAGGCAGCTCAGCGAGTGACGATGCCGAAACATATGTTTAGACCAAAAAACGCAGTCTGAGTTGTGACATTAAGCAATGCAAGCGTGACGTTTTGCATTGCTTAATGTCACAACTCAGATTGCGTTTTTTGGTCTAAACATATGTTTCGGCATCGTCACTCGCTGAGCTGCCTCCGTAAGCTGAGGTGATTGGCTCTCCGAGTGTTGTGCGTGAAAGTTGACGCACAGACTTTTTTTAGAGTGATTACACCCTTTTCAATAGTATGTGCCATCTAGGAGCTATAGTAAGTTACAGGTTAAGAAGGTAGCGGCAAATGCCCCTCAAAGGGAATCATATATCCCTCCGCCCCCTCCGCATCCAATAGCGTCCCCTCGTTTCCGTGACGTCGCGGCCAACGCGCGAGGAGGGTCATGCCTCTCTGTGCATATTTGCTTTATCTTTCGACTTTGACTTATACCCCATTCACACGATCATAAAGGTACCTTAAGCTAAGGGACCTTTATTCTCCGCTGCGAATCAATTCACGACCCTCCGCGCGTGCCGTTTGCTCGGGACCTAAGAGCGCGGGCTGATTCGCCGATTGCAAAGGGACTTATGGTAAAGATACCTTTATGCTGGCCGTGTGAATGGGGTATTATATAATTGTGGAAGCCACGAGAGGGAGATCAGAGCTTTCCCCCTTTGATGGAAACAAATACGACTTTAGGAGGTTAGGTTCCTTCTCCGATAGATACAAAGGCCACTTTCAGGATCTCGCTTTCCTCTCGGATGAAAACAAAGGTCGCTTTCTTAAAAAGTGGGGGTCGAAGACAAGTTGGCACCACTCTGTGGCCATTATCTATCCATTGAAGCGGAAGGAGCGTTTCCAGTGAACTTTTCTTTCGACTGCGGAGGGATTTGAAAGGGGCGCATCACGCTTGTGGGCGGAGCTTCTCCTACCTTCTTGACTTGTAACCGACTATAGTACTCCAGTTACCCGAGTTCATAATTGTTTTATTACGTATATTGAACATGTATTAGATACGAGCGTCACGTCAGCGGTTGGCGAGGATCGGACCCAATCACACGCTTTGGTTCATTAATATAATGAAGCGTGGATTATCAGTGCTCTTATACTTGCCCTGCAGTCATATATGACGTGGTCAAAGACATTGTGGACGAGTTTTGAAGATTTTGCGGTAAGCAGCCGTAACAGACAACGAACCAAAATGAGTACAGCTATAATTGGTCGGCTACCTTTTTGGAGGGTCGCAAGACTCTCCAAAAATGCCCGTACGTTCACTTTCCCGGAGTCTTATCGAAGAGCCAATCACTGTGATCTTCCGAATGAGGTCGGAAAATGACAAGGACAAAAAAAAAAATACAGTTACGAGGAAATATTTAAAAGTCTGTGATGTGACACTGAGGATCACGTGGTCACGTAAGAAGACATGGCGCCCAGTGTCAGGCTTCAGACTTTAAATTCTAGGTCTAAACCCTTTTAAGGCTTCGTCCTTCGCTTACCTCTTCCTCCCTCTGTTGTACGACTGGTCTCCACACGGTGCTAAGTGGGAAAGTAAACACGTGTGATTTTTTTTAGAGCGTGTGTTTAGGGGTGATTGTTTCAATTCTCAGCCATCAGACATATTCATGATTGCTGCTGTTATAGTCGTCGAAATCTTAAGAAATGCTGGGGGTTGCGAGCCCCGTGAATCATAGCTCCACAATCAGTGTGTTTGAGGCAGTAGCCAATAAGGAAGCTGAAAAACGAATCACAAAGCAAGAAGTGTAAACATAATCCACGGCCTGCATTTGTTAAGTTCTTAGTTACTGTGGTTTTGTCAGCCCTTCTTGGCTGATATTAAGTGCAGATGTACCCCATTAGAGCACAAGTCGGACAATCGTCCTGGGGAAACCGTCTCAATGCGTTTAAGCTCAGAAACGCAAAGAAACGTACGGATATCTTGAGACTTTACGTGAATCATCACTACCCATCCGAGTGAAACAGTGCACATCGGTATACATTCCTTCTTGACAGGTGCTGAGATGCTGCCATTTTTGTATAGGTTTTTTCAATGACGCAGAAAAACATAAGTATGAAAATACACTTATCGACGACCAACGTACCGGCACGTGTGATGGTGATGGCGGTCAACGCAGCCAGAGTCCCACCGAGGATGAAGACGGCGTGGCGAAGCCCGGCCATGGTTGCGCCTCGAAATAGCGTCGACGGCGCAGAGGCTAACCTCAACGCGTTTGGCGAGTCACTCCCCTTCGCTTTTCCGTGGTCATGTGGGATTCTGCTGCACCGCCATCTTTCTTTTCTGTGTGTGCCTGGCACAGGCCGACACCGAAACCGAAAGCAAAAAACAAAAAACAAAAAAAAAGTATAAAGGCTACATTTGTGACACCAATATGCCGTTTCATGACGTCACCCGCATTCGCGAATGAAAAAAAGGAAGAAAGAGAAGGGGGCGGCAAGGTCACTAGAGTCCCTGACTGCTCAAGAAACGCAGGGTATCGCCTACTGTGTTCCCGCTTCTTGCCTTGTGATTGGTTCATCGGCATCCTTATCGGCTAATACTGCCATTTCATTGGCTGCGGAGCAGTGATGAGATGCACAAAAAAAGCTTGCCATGCCTTAAATTTTCTTTTTGTGACTATAGAGTGAATACCGTAGATATAGAGTTATAGTGTTTTAATTTAGACGAAAATAAACTGAAGCCCATTTATAGTTCCTTCTCACATTTGTATACTAGGTTCCCGTAGCAAGTTCATTGATTCAATGGGGAAAAATACCATTACGATATTAACGCTACTTTCACAGGTTATATCTAAAAGTGTGCTGAAGGAAGTCTCTTGAGAGAAAATCTAATAATAAAAATACTTCAAATTTTATTGCCAATGGTACAAAAAAACGCCCAAGAGTTTTGCTTATCGAAAACGGTAAGCCGCAGTCAGACTGCTCCTGCACCATACAGAAGATATCTGGTTCACTCAAGGCATGATGACAAAATTATGTGCGGTTCTGCCTCAAGCATTTTCGAAGCATGTTTGCACCACATATGTGTAAGCTTCGAGTATGCTGCGGGCAGGTTTTTGTATGACCAACGTCACAGAACCACCATAATACTACAAGGAAGGCAGTTCGCTTCAGACAATGTCTACAGGCCATCTTTTGTATGGTGTATTTGCGGTGTGGCTGCCGTTCAAAAGACTCGCGGAAATTATTTTTAAGGCGCTCAGACAGAAGACCTCTATACATAATCGGCAAGTCATCTCGATCCGGACCCTGCGCGTACCTCGCAGCATGCGTTGGTTTGCCAATTTCATACAAGGGGCTTCGGTCTAAAGAACTCAGAAGACCCGTGAATCGGGTTATTAAACAGGGACGGTGCAATGCCACCTCTGTTCTTGTACGCATAAACACAGTACGCACAATAAAAAAAAATACAGGTGGGTGGATTGATGGATAGATGTATGATGATGGCTGTACCCTTTATAAGGGGCGGTAGCTTGCGCCACGTAGCCTCGAAACCAAAAGTATTATTTCTCCCCTCGCCCATCTAAGACAAATTGCCTTCCCTCTGTATTTACTTTCCCTCTGCATTACCACAAAAGTAGCAGCGTTGCCGACTACTGGAACCGCGATGATTGTAATGAGTGACGTGCACCTCTGAATGCATGACCTGCACGTGACGTCGTGGCATCTTGCACTTGACGACACGACATCTTGCTGATGGTCTTACCCAATGATTCTTGGCGAGCGAAACAAATTCGCTGGTGCGAGTTGTTTACGCTACAGAAGGTACGCGCTCGGCAGCAATGGCACCATAATCGCCACTGCTGTGACGTCAGTGAAAACCATGTATACTAAAGTGGCAGTTTCTCAGACATACGAGCTAACTAAGCACAAGCTCTATTCATGCTAAAGTCACTGTGGGCAAAAATGACCGGGCCTTAATGAAGTTATTTTTTTTCTCTCTCTCGGCAACAAGTCATCGCGGTGTTCTGACTTCACGTAAGTGTTCATTTCATATACTGTGACATGTAACATTTTTATTACCACCACCCTTTTATTATAACCGTGATGCTGTTTGAAATGTTGCCATTAAATAATTTCTCACAAGGTAACTAAAAACATGTTACCGAATAACTCGCTGGGAAAATTAAACGTTTTTTTTTTTTTTTTTTGTGTGTGTGAGAACAGCAATACTGGATAAGCGCGCGAGTCTTTCCAAGCTCCTCTATTCTATAAATAACGCATCAACAGATCGGATGCTGCTTTGCAAGAAGATCGCATTCACTGACGTGAGCGGGACGCCTCCCAGCGGTGTGGATTGCATCGAGCGCGACGCCCCCTCGAGATGTGGGTTGAGAGTAAAGCGAATCGAACCGAGACGTAACCCGATCCGAATGTACGTCTTGCGGTACACGCACACCCCCTTCGAAGGGCCGATGTCACGGACGCGGGGATCACTGGTGGAACGATGGTTACTGCAATAAAGTTACGCCCGTCCGCCATCTTGGCTCTCGTTGTCTTTCCAATGGGACTAGCGGAATGCGGTAAGTTGGGTTTTTATTAATCGATGTTACTCATCATCCCGTCTTTCGTGGGCTAGATAACCTGATTGATTTCGTACCGCATTTTTATAATCTGAGGACCATGTTAAAAAGATAATATTTTACGCAAAGCAGACTATTTTTTTTTTTTCTGGATCGACAAGATCCAGGAAGAAAATTAGTGATGGATTTTGTAAATGACTAAGTATATGTTAATGACAATTTTTGAATGATACAAACTTTCTTATAAAAAAATGCCGGCATTTTTCAAGCTGTGGGAATTTTTTGACGCGATGATTAGGCACAGGTTTTAACTAAGCGTCAGATGCGAACATATGCTCAGGGTGCGGCCTATAATCCGAAAAATGCGGCAATATCCTCTTCTGACTTTTTTTTTTATTCTTGACATCTGTCATCATTTCAGTCACGTGGAATGACAGAATGTCGTCGTCAGGTTGTTATTAGTTTCACCCTAATCTTGGGGTAGCTGTTGTTTCATTTGTCTTCGGTGACGCTCTTTGACTGACACATCGTGCCGAGTCTTTCTGTCAATCCTCACAGCGGTCCCAAGAAAAACACTCAGTCGAAAAGCGTGTCACGCAATATCAATCCTGATTCCATAGTTAGCTTCCTTTAAAAATTCTCAGAAAATTAAAGAATTTATTCGAAGTTCATTTAACTGTGAGTTTTATACTAATTATATAAAAATAAATAATAAGAGTACGTTCATTAAATATCACAGAAATACATCAACCTTGGAGCTTTATGTCCACTTCGATTTTCCCTCTTGCAAGAAACTTAGAAAAAGAACTTCCAATTTCAGTTTTTTTTTTAAGGCTCGGGAATGATAGCTAGGATTTCAGCTATCAAAATAACTGTCACTTGCAATTTAAAAAAAAAAAAAAAAAAAAAAAAACTTAGTGCCTTATAGTGCACGATGGATTCTTTTAAATATTTGTTTTCCGCGTACTGCCCGTGAGTGCAACTTGCTCCCTGAACTACTTGTATTTTCAAGTGCAACCAGATTTTATTTCAGAATTTGTTAACATAGAACGCGTACTTTGATACAATTTGATAATTTATTTTTCTCCTCTCCTTAAATGACGAGTACTTTGTAACTGTTTTTTTAACAACGGGCCAAGACGTGTTGTTGTGTCCACGCCCTTTTGCGTGCCGATAATCATGTTAAGGGCACGTATTATGATGGTAACGCGCAGCCGTATATTAATTATGATTATATATTTACGCATTTTTATAGTGTCACCTCATACTGTAGTACCTTGGCTACCCTTCAAGGGCCGGCAGTGTCCTAGTTGATTAATAGTTGATAATTAATCACTTTGTTCAATATATATTTTACGAGGACGATTTTCGTTTTTCTACATAGTCATTTTAAGAATAACAAAGAGAAAATCACCATAACGTCATTTGTCGATGTTGAAATCGTTCTTCAGGGCTCTTATCGGGTAATTTTGCCATATGATAACATCATGCTGCAATGTGACGCTTGGCCATTAAGAACTTTTCTTGTTCGTAATATTTTCAAGCTAAAGCAAAAAAAAAAAAGAAACACGTAAGTGTTGTGCAATGCGAAGTAGAGTTGTCTAACCAATAGACGTCAAATGAAATATGGACAAAGCTCGCTTTGTTTTCTATATCTGTGTAAATTTTCTACGCTCTGCTCCCCGCCGTTGCAGACGAATTGGCGAAAGAGAAGTTTGTATCGAACGAGCAGCAATTGAGAAGGAAGCTATTGGACCCCCTCACGTATGACGTCAACAGGCGTCCGACCAATCAATCATCGCTTCCGACTCCTGTCAATGTGTTCACTGGGTTCGCCAAATATATTGTAAGTACGCCTCATTCATCTGTTTCCTGCTCCGTTTGAAACGTAACCCTAGTTGCTCTTTACAACACCCGCAGGTTCTGGAGAGTGATTCGTTCACAGTCGACACTCACTTGTGTATGGTGAGTTCACTCTACCTTCACTGGCGCCTCCGAGTTTTATGTTTTGTTATTATCTAAATACGGGGCGAGGCCGTCAGGACCAGCAATTCGAATTCTAATCGTACAGTACATACCTGAAACTCGGCATGCGAACGTCGTTTCGCAAAAATCTTTTTGTGTATTTTTTTTAGAGCTCAACTTAGAGGTGGTGAAATATTTAAAAAAAAATAGAGAAAAAATGGCGCCCGTTCTTTTTTTAATGTCCTATACCGAATTTTCGTTGTCAGCGCACCGGGTTTGCTAGCTTGCGCCCAGGCGGCCATCGTTTTTATATTTCGTTAACATTATTTTACTTGTCGCGATTGCCCTGCTCTTCACCAGCCTCAGTGCATTCTCAGCGTTTTTGCGTTCAGCAAGCCACCCGAGAGCGAGCTCACAATCCCGTGAGCAGACGACAAACAAACTGGCATAGGACATAGAAAATACGCAGTCACTGTTTTTGCGTCTTATTATTTTTTTTAAATATTTCATCATCTCTAACTTGAGCCCTAAAAATAATTAGGTATAAGACTTCTTGCGAAACCAGATTGGCTTGCCTAATTTTAGGTATGCATACATTTGGAATTCCAATTTTTCGAGGCGTGCCAAATGTGCCGGCTTTTACGCGTCCTCCCCTTGTATAATAAATTTTCAAGGCACCGAAAGTCTTGGAGATTGCCGTGCATCTTATTATCGCTCCGAACTGAATGAGGTTGGGGCAATCCCGGCCATGTTTTTTAAGACTGGTTCACATACTTGAGACTGCTTACGACCCAGTGCTTTAAAACTCCTTGTGACCTCTTCTGACG